TGTGTGTGTGTGTGTGTGTGTGTGTGTGTGTGTGTGTGTGTGTGTGTGACTAAGGCCACACAGTGCCGTAGCAGGTTTGAGGAGGTCAGAGAAAAGCTCAGTTTTCCATGTGCTCACAGTCTCAGTTCCCTCTTTGTTGGAACGCTCCTTCACTTTCTTTCAGGACATCACTTCCTCGTGAGTGTCTGCCTGTCTCATCCAATACTCAGTGTCCTTTGCATACTCCCACTGGTGCCTTAGAACTCAGTTCTTAGGCTACCTGTTGGTTTCCTGGTTTTGCTTTTGTTTCTTTTCACTCCCTGGAGGGTGACAAAAATTTCATCCTGTACCATATGGATTCTGACAACTGACAATGACTAGCCCCAAGTTCAGCATGTCAATGATATTTTAGACTTAGCAAGTCCAAAACCCTACTCCTAGCCCACCTTTGACTGTTTTGGGCATTGAGACTGCATTCTTCCAGGTACCCACACATGGCCTCATACCCTTGATCTTTCTTTGCTCACAGTATCCAACCCATCAGCAAATCCTAGAGCTCTATCTTCCAAACCCTCTTGGCATCTGACTGTCTTTCACCCCACCCGGATGGAACCACTGTCTCCTTCACCTAGATTCCAGCAGCAGGCTCCTGTATGGCTCTCTGCTATACAGGATCCCTCTGTACTCATGGTGTGTATATCAGTCACTTTGTTTGCTTGGTTGGTTCTGGTTTTGGGGAGACGGGGTTTCTTATTTAGGTCTTAGCTGTCCTAGAACTCACTTTATAGACTGTAGACAGAAGTTTCTGTCCCACCCAACCCCACAGCTCTTCAGTCCCAATGAAACACACAGAGGATTATATTAATTATAAACTGTTTGATCTATTAGCCCAGGCTTATTATTAACCAGCTCTTACAAGTCTTTGTTTAGCCACATGGCTTGGTACATTTTCTCAATGCAGCATTCTCATCTTGCTTCCTCTGTGCCTGGCTGGTGGCTGAATTTGGCCTTTCCTCTTCCCAGAATTCTCTTAATCTGGTTGCCACACCTATACTTCCTGCCTGGCTACTGGCCAATCAGTGTTTTATTAAACCAATATGAGTGACAAAACTTTACAGTGTACAAAAACATTATCCCACAGCAGTTCTCCATTTTTTCTTTTCAAAACAAGACCCTGAATATAATCCCCTTTGTTTAGTTTTTTTCTTAATCATTGTTCAGAACAACTTGTAACCAACACACTAAACAAAGACAAACATCTATAATCCATTTTTTGGAAATGTGGGAGTAGTTTTCTAGGCTACTTCCTGCTGATTGGAAGCACTGATAACCTTATGGAGATCTAAAGAAAATTTAGGATTATAGTCAAGTCCTGACCGGAGTAGTCTGTGAGGCTTGATCATCTCAGCCAGTTCTTCTGGGTGTAGAACTCAGAGGGAACTCCAACAGAGGTGCTCTGAAATGTTGACTCACTGAAACATCCATTCCCATAGGAGATTTTTCAGGGAGTCTTCCTCAATCAAACCTTATTTTTCTTAGCCAATAATGAATCCACAGCCTCTTGTTTTCCTGTGGAAATAAAAGCAAAGTCTTTTCTCCAAAGTAATATATCTTTTGACTTAAATTTTGAAGTTAAGGCATTTTCAAAATATATAAATTGAATTAATCCGGCAGCATTTAAAATCAACTGTCATTTAGCAGCTGTTGCTCCATCCTCAGCCGTCAAGCAATTCAAAGACAGCACAATAACATACAATATACAGACTCTCTGTGTACTTTCTATCTTTACATGAATTTTTTACTCTATTTTTTTATTTTTATTTTTAATTTTTGGTTTTTGAAGACAGGAATTTTCTATATCTTTGACTGTCCTGGATCTCACACTGTAGACCAGGCTGGCCTCAAACTCACAGAGATCCGCCTACCCCTGCCTCCCAAGTGCTGGAATTAAAAGTATGTGCCACCATGCCCAGCAACATTAGCTACCTTTTGCTGTAATAAAACACTATAGCCAAAGCAACTTAAGGAAGTAAAATTTTATTTTGGTTGATGGTCCACAATGATGGGAGAAGCATGGTAGCAGGAGGCTGGAGCAGGAAGCTGAGTGATCATATCCTAACCACAAATACAAGGCCAAGAGAGAGGGGGGAGGGAATATGGTGGGGCTCTAAAAGCCAGGGACATTCTTCCTCCAGTGACTCCATACCTTCTAAGGGTTCCATAAAGTCCCAAACAACTAGACCCATCAGGGACCAAGTGTACAAATACTCGAGTGTTTGAGAGATATTTCCCATTCAAGCCACAACAGTGATTCTGTGATTCATGTATTCATGTCCTATTCCTCCCTGGCCAGACCATGCCCCCATGGCTTTCTCCATCAAGTCCTCTCCTCAGACTTAACTCAAAGCTCTTCCCAAACCACCTCATCAGGAACCACGAATCCCCTCCAGCACTCTGCACCCTTTTTTCTCACTCAGCGTGAGTTTTATTTATGTTTGTTTACCAGATACATTTATTTGTTTCTCTATGGGACTAACACTTCGCCTTTTACATTCACTACCTTATCCTTAACTCTGAGAACAGGGTGTAACGCAGCGTCAATATTGTTGAATGAGTGACTAGCCCACTGGAACAGAAGTATAAGAACAGACTGATGTATATATTGATGAACAAGTGACTGGCCACTAGAAAAGAGGTATAAGCACAGACCAGTGCCTGAGGTCAGAATGGAGAAGAAGCAACTGGAACAGCCTCCTTGGGGGAGAGATTGTGACATGCTGCAGAATCAGAGTGGGCAACATAAAGCAAGAACTTCTGGGCAATTCAGATATCTCTATCTCCAGGTGGTCCTTTTGGTGGTAGAGTAGTCAGGTGTCCGGATGGAAGGATGGAACTCAGTGGGTAGAGGACTTGTTTAGCTTCTATAAATGCCCAGGTTTGGTCTAGTACCTCACAAACCAAGTGTAACGGTGCACGCCAGCAATCCAAGCACCTTGTAATCCCAGCACTTGGGAGGTGGAAGCAAGATGGTCAGAAGTTCAAGGTCATCCTTTGGCTGCATCATGAGTCTGAAGCCAGCCTGGGTTACATGAGATACTATCTGAAGGCGAGGAATAAAAGAAAGAAATATGACCAGCGTCCAAATTCCTCTCCTATAAAGAACTCATGCATTTGGGTTCCGTTTTCCGTGCCCAGTTGAAACGAAGGTTTATGTTTGTCAACACAAAGTATCATTTGCATCCGTGATTCATCCTCCATCCATGAGCAAAAGAAAATTCCCTCAGAGAATTCAATAGTGTTTAGCCGAACAAGACCTGGCAGTTTCCTGTCCCTGAAGATGATTTGTTCAAGTGGCATGCTTGCTACTGTGCTCAGAGTGAGGACTCACACGGATTGGCACACAGGCCTGCCTGGTTTCTACACAGAGATGGTTAATGTCAGCAGCTGCCCCTAGAGAGCTAGTCACAGCTATAACGAAAAAGAGACATTGTATACAATGTACCCTCAGACTGCCCCCCAACACACACACAGGGCACAATAAACTCTTAGCCATGAGCAAATTCCTCTGCCATGGCTTTGATGTCCATAGGAACTCCATGTGGTACCTCTTCCCCCACGCATAATGCAAGGACACCCCTTAGAAGAGTTGCCTTCTGTGGACCTTGGTTTGAAGATGGTGAGACAGGAAGATGGTTTCCGTCACTTGAAAAACATGTCTCCCTTCAGTAGCAGCATCTGGAAGGACTCCAAACAAATTTTCCGTGTTTTATGCTATAAATATTAAAGGATTTATGGGCTACCTAGGAACCACATCTTTATGCAAGAGTTGAGAGTCACAATCTGAGAGACTCTTTCGAGAATCTTAGGAGTAACGAATTGATAACTCCGAGTAATACATCTGTTTGGCATATGCATGCCTGAGGGGGTTTGTAAGTGGTTCTCAGACTCCTGTGGGGACAGGTTAAAGTAGCAGCCCGGAGTGTTCAGACCTGAGCTGCACTCCTGATGCACTCACATTGTATACTTTTTATTAGGGTTCACTACCTTAGCTATTTTAAACTACACAGTGTAGTGGCCTCCGGAACATTAATGATGTTCAGCCTTCATAATTACCCCGTTCCAGCAGAGAAAAGAAAAAGGTTTCTCTCCACCACTCTCGCTCACCCCCCAAGAAGCCCATTCTCACTAAATGGTTGCTCTCACCCCATCCCCGGGCTCCTCAGCCCTTGGCAATGACCGGTGTACCCTCCGTCTCTATGATTACTCCTTCATGCACATTTTGGATGAATAACATTGAGCAGTATATGACTTCTAGTGTCTGGCTTCCTCCACTCATGAGGAAGGGGCCAGTCATATGAAGAGTGACAGAGAGAGCCATGTGAGGACACAGACCAGCAGGAGCCAAGACTGGGGGTGGGGGATGGGACAAATGTGACATGTTTGAAGATCAATGTTCATCCCCTGGAGACTGCCTTCTGCATTTGTACTTACCAGTGGACCCTACTCATCAGCCATACCCAGTTCTTTCCTCCTTCCCCTCTCCACTGTCCTCTCTCAACCATGAGACAGAAGTAAGCCGTTGACACCTGGAAATATCGTTGCTCTTTCTCCCAGACTATAAGTCAATGGCTGCTGGGTTGTTTCCAGCCACTGAGTCCCCTCTCTCATTCCCTCTACACTGAGGCTTATCAGGGAAGATCTACGATGGACTGGCCAACCCCTGGCATTAAGCCTCTTGAAAGCAGACCAGCAGGAAGCCCACAGGCTTCCTCTTCAAGGTTTCATTCTATTTGTGAATTAAGTGGTACCTTTCGCTTTTTAGTTAGCCTCTTGGTTTTGGTGGAGACTCCTGGCTGCTTTTTTAAAAAACTATATTTAATGAGAATAGTTGTTTTTTCAAACAATCCTCGCAGATTCCCCCCCCCACCCCCTGATGTTTCACACCTATGCGTGCTGTATGCCACGAGTGTGGGCATTCCTTCTACCCTCCCTCCTTCCTGCTACCCGTCTTTTAAGCATTGGTAACATCCAGGGCATATTTTAACCCCCTTTTCTTCTCATAATCCTTTTCTGGGTGGTATCAACCAAAGAGTCATGATGGTGAATTGGTGAATGGCTCATCCACGTCGCTCAAGAACTTGCCCGCTCCATAAACTTCCCTTGCCATCCCACCATCCGTGCCCTTGGGAGCTTTCACCGCCGTAAAAGACAGAGCGGCAGGAAGTTTAGGGTCTACTGTGCATAGTCCCAAGTGAGGCTGAACAGAGCAGCACTCTGCCTTCTCGCTCCAGTTCTGGATAATTGGCATGTTCCCAACTGAACTGCCACCCTCATCCCATCTGTCCCCACTGCCCCGTTCAACATTCTAGTTTCCTTGACTCCATTAAAGACTAAAGCAAAGTATGCTTTTATACTCATGATCAAATGAGCCCTGTTTCCGATTCGCGGTATTGCTCACTTTCTTGTTCTAAGTTCAGGAAGTCTGTTTTATACCTTGTGGAGAAAACACACTTTAGAAAACCTTTCTTATGGGATGGAGTTGGAGTGTTGTTGGCCATGCTTTCCTGAGTCAGGAGCCGACAATATTAAACGAGGTGTCCTTAAATGGAAACATTCAGAAAACAAGGTTATACATTAAATCAGGTTGAAATAGTGCCCACAGTGGCTTTGTCGAACATAACTATCACTCATAAAGAGAATCAATTATGCCACCCAAACAATGCCCCTGGAATAGTTTTATCCACCACTCTGGTGTCTCATCCCTTTGTAAATTCAAATGTTCAGTTTTGGGAATGCTCATCTTGATGGTCAACTTGACATGTTTGGGAAAAAGGAACCTCATCTGAGGAATTGCGTCTATCAGAACTGCCCATGGCAGTGTCTGGGAGGGGGATTTTCCTGATTGCTAGTTGATGCAGGAAGCCCACTGCTGGTGGTAGGTGGGTCTGTGGAATATGAGAAAGACAGCTCAACGGGAAACTTGAAGAAAGTCAGTAAGCAGTGTTTCTTTGAGGTCAACATCATCATCATCATAATTAGCATATGAAAAATTGGACTCTCATCTTTGTCCGATCTGTCCCTACCTCCTTGTTCATTTTTCTAGTTCCCTTGTCTATACTAATGACTTAACTATCCAGCAATAGTCCAGACCACCATTCCAGCATCCTCAGTTGTCCCTTCTCTCAAGTCCCTATATCTAGGCTTGCCTTCTACATTCCACTTACTGCATCTTGAGCTAGATTTCTTTACCCCATTACTTTTCCCTCTCCTGGTTCTGACTATGGTTGTCACTGGCTTTCTGAAGCATCTCTCTTTTAACCCTTTCAGATAAGGTTCTATCTGCTACGAGAATCTTCTTCCTGTTCTGCAAATCCAACCATATCAGCCAATCTTCCCATTTAAAATCTTCACTGGCTCCCCCACTGCAAACAACATGGAATCCAAACTGCAATCTGCCATACAGAACCTCCCCCAGCTGAGTACTGCCTCTAGTGTCTCCCCATCCATCCATATACCACTTTCTCCAGTAGAAATCCATTCCTTTGTGCTTTGTCGGGCATTCCAAACCTGCATGTCATTCTGTCTGTCTGGAATGTTCTTCTCTCTCAACTTGGCCTTCCATTTTCACAAACTCTGTCTTCTCCTAGCTTACAGGGATTAACACTTCCTTTACCATTCTACAGATGTTGATTTTCTTATGCAGGTAAGTGTTTGGTTCCTTCTATCTCCTACAACATGGGCCTCTGGGCAAGCACTAGCTTCTCAGTTTCAGATTCCCTTCTGTGAAGGAGAATTGGTCCCATCTACCTTAGACGGATCTACTAAAACTAAATAAACAACACCTTTCAAAAATTAACCAAAAACTTGCCCAGAACTTGGACCAAGAGACCTTCAAATACTGTCACTACCAATGCATTGCAACAAAATGCCCTCTGCCATCTGATTGATGTCCCAACTGTCTCCCCACTGATTCTTCATTCCCAGCAGACCCAATGCCATGTGAGTTATCTGTGATCTAGATTGTTCTCCCCCTAGCTCTAATTCTGGCTGTATTTATTTGTTGCTTGTGGAGATCTGTTGAATTTTCATTTCATGTTTTTAGCAACAACATCGCTTTGTCCATTTTCAAAACTATTCTACCCTACTTTAAGGACTGATGATCAGGGTGTTTGGATTGTTCACTATAAATCTTTATTGGTCTTCCCACTCTAGCTGCCCTTTCCTCTCCGTGCTTTCTGGTACAGCCACCTTACGATGCACACAGCACACAGCTACCCTCTGGCTGGTACTATTGAAAACAGCTTAACAGTCTGCTGTCGGTGTGGTGTGGTGACTTCCTGAAGCTGGAGAAATTCTTGCTGTCACCGTGACTTGCTCAGCGCTCGGTTAAGGTTATGAGTGAATACCAACAGAGGAGGAACCCTAGCCAACAGACAGAAAGTGAAGGGAATAACACAAATGATGGGATTGCCTTCCCACCCCAACATTCTGAGCTGCTAAGTAAAAATTAATACGATACAAGAGTTCATGAGCTCTCGGCTCTACTTCCACCAATCAAGTACCTAGCACCACCCCCCTTAAACAATAGGTTCTCTTGAAAACAGGGGGTAATGCAACTGCTAGAAAAGAGGGGAGTCAAGCAGAGAGGGTGTAACAGCCTTCAGAAGTAATGGATCCTTTGTTCTCAGCTCCACACAGATAATATGGGGTATGTGGGACCGCACCTGAAGAGGAACACAGACCAACCACACCGTATTTTTGAATGCGCAATCAAAATAGAGGGGCGAAGGTACAAACAGCAGAAACCATGAACCACTATTTACACCAATGTGGTAGGCAGACCCTCAGATGGGTCCGCATTATAGCATTATATCATTACACTAAAGGCCAATTTCATGCAAAGTGGTGAAATGCAATCACCTAAAAGACATGCTATAAAGGATCACTCTGGCAGCGCTAAAGATGGCACCTCAGTTGTGTTTGTCACCCACCATGATTGCTTCTACATTTGGACAAACTTAAATATTCACCCAATTATGTATTTCTTTTTTTTTTTCATTGAACTAAATAAGTGAAAATCAAGCCTGTTGTCAGTCAGACTGTGATAAATAGTGTTTACAACCAAACAGAATCAAGGCCATGCTAGCGCGGAAATGTTTTCTTTGGAAGATTGTTGCTTTCCTGTCAGTGGTACCCCAGCCTCGTTCTGTTCGCCCTGCTTCCTGAACCAGCATTTCTGAGGTGCTGAATTGCTTGCATATTGTTGGTATCCAACACAAACCTGAAGTCTCTCTAGTCCTTCCCTTCAATCGCCTTGCCGAAGTCAAGATCCTTGGACAAGCCCATTGGATTCTCCCTCACCAAGGAACTGTATGAGCTCCTTCACAGAAACAGACTCGGTACACCTGTGTTTGTCTCACTGAAGATGTGTTCCTGAGTCTTTGAGTAGCGAGCACCCACACGACAGACTGTGCTGAAAGTCTACTAGTGGCTAAGGACTGTGCTTTCCAAGAAAGCCAAGAGTTGACTAGAGATGAGATGGAGGGGCTGCGTCGGTTCGGGACCTACTGATGGGAACTACAAATGGGAAATGAATTAGAAACGAAGCCCAAGCAGTAGGAGCTGGATCTGCCGGGTGGAGGGCACCAGGCTGCCCTTTCTCTCCCTCTGAAGGTCTCTGCAGATGTCCGCACCTATCCTGTGCTTTGCTCAACCTAACAAAGCAAGTTAATTGTGTTCGCTTTGTAAAACGTTGAGCTATAAAATTTCGTGTGCACCCGTCTTAGTTGGCAATGAAACCAAAAGGATCATCAAGCATTACCTCACTCTAGTGGGGAACTGGGGGCCCCTCTGGGCCACATACAACTGATCAGCATGAGAGATGGTACGAGAAGTTACGTGCAAAGGCAGATATACTCCAGAGGTAGAGGAGACTTTTTGTCACATGTCCGTGGGTCCCGGATGAACTTAGACTGTTTATTATCTAGAGCCCCCTGAGCCACTCTGTTGATTAAGCTGATTTTTACCTCTATATAAAAGCCCACCTCTGGACCACTGAGGAACGGGGAGCCTTTCAATAACCTCTCAGGACTAGTAACTAAGAGGGGAAAACAGAAAACAAAGGAAATGAAGTGGACGCTACTTTTGTGAATTCAGGGTTCAAGGTAAGGTTTAGGCAGTAAGATGCCACATTGCACATTCTCCACGCTGCCTCTGGGCTGGTTTTCAAGGTGTGAGGAGTCCCTGGCAAAGCCAAGGAGACATTGACTCCCTGGGGAAGCCCCACCACCACCCCCCTCCAGTCTGAACTGGGAACCTCCTTCCAACCTTATGACCACACTTCGTTTATTCTCTAGAGCACTTAAGGGCTCACCATCCCCACTGCTGAAGTTACATCTGCCTGTGTTCTCACGTGGGAACATCAAATACCCTGTGATATGCGGTAGAGCCAGCTCTTGGTGCCAGGAAACCATCGGAAATCATGGAGTCAAGCATGCTAGTGTCGAGGCTGAGAAGGCTGCCGACAGGAGTCCTCTATAATCCGAGCGGACCCACACAGTTGCGGCTAACCACATGGAGCCATCGAGTGCTGGAAATGCAGCTGCTAGGGACTGAGATGAAGTCGGCAGTTTTTAAATTTATATTTAATTTCAACAAGTTAAATTTAGATAAACACAAATGGCTGGTAGCTACAGCCCAAACCAAGCTCTTCCTCCATGTGCCTCTTTGCCATAGTCAAATTTCACGGTGTCAGTCTGACTGCTTGACAACCCTCAGCAAACTAGAAGCTCCCTGTGGGCGAGAAACACGCTCATACCCTTCTAAAAGTCCCCAGACGTGGTCGTTCGTAATCCTCCGGCTGTTGTTTTTCATAAAAGTCAATGTTTTTACAAACAGAAAGGTCTGCTGTCCCTTCGCTGCAGAGCTAGCTACCCCAACAACCTCTGAAGCGCGCAGTCTTTGTGTTTGGGACCAAAGGACTGCGGCACGCTCCTGCCACCTGGTGGTGATGTGTAAAAAGTCAGGCAAAAGCTCTTGCCCTGAGCTACTGTGGTGTGACCAAGAGGCAGGACAGAAAGCGAATGCTTTGGGACTTGGGACGGAATTATCGGTTAATGGAACCATAAATCAGAAAAGAAATCTGTTTCCAGATGAGGAAACCAAAGGTGAGAAATATTTGGTGACTGAGTCAGATATAAAATCAGCCACCTCGAACCATGTGTTACATCCCATCTAAATGAAAAATGTGTTTCTATTTGGGGCGACCAGAGACATTATTGATTAGTAGAGCTGTGCAGAATTAAATATAATCATAACGCACGCAAAGTAACCATTCTTTGTCTTAGATATTTACTCACTGTGGGCACCAGTCTCTCTGAAGAGGGTATCACTTCCGAAGTGATAAAAATCCCGCTAGAGCTGGTTGATAATGGGCTCCTTCTTTCAATCTAATTGACTTCAGGTAACTACGGATCAGCAAAAAACAAATGAGTAATCCCTCCCTTCTGAGGAAACGGGCTACAGTTTCATTTCCGATTCGGGCATCAAATATGTATTAAGTGCTCCTACTCTACGATGGGTATGACGTGGTGCCAGGGATACAAGGAGGAGAAAAGCTAAGGAGGTGTCTGCTCTTGGGGAGTCCACCGTGTGCTGGACTCCAGCGCAAGCTCTGTGCGAGGCAGCAACAAGGACACAGCGCATGTGCTCAGGGAAGGGAGAAGAGCTAGGACTAAGGAAGAGGTCGGTCAACAGGGGCCGGATCTGCTACCGTTGCTAGTCCTGCAGAGGGAGCGGTGTCGCACAGACCTGAATCCTGAACATGGGTGGCACCCAGGTGCTATTGACCAAACCAGATGTTGGGCAGCAGTGGACAGCAAGCAGGGTAGCCATGTAGGCCATTAGATCTACTTGACTATGGAGCGCGCAGAGCTACAGTGGCAGTTCCTGAGCGTGGGCGTTTTCCCAAAGTGACGGGTCTGAGGTGGATGGGAGCAGAGACTAGTCAGAGCCCCAGGCCTGGGAAACCCCGAAGACTGGTGTGAAGGAGCGTGAGGGCACCTCTCGCCACTGTCAGGATTGGTCTCAGGTCTGGCATTAGATCATTACTACCAGCGGCACCAAGGATAAACGAACCAACAGAAGCAATGGAACCTATGGCCATAATATTAATTCATTCCCAGGCGAGTCTCCTATGTGTTCATTTAGCTGAGCGGTTCTCAACTTTCCTAGTGCTAAGACCCTTTAATACAGTCCCTCGGGCTGTGGTGACCCCAGCCAAAAAATAATTTTGTTGCTACTTCATATCTATAATTTCGCTACTGTTATGAATCGTAATGTAAACATCTGATATGAAGGGTATCTATCTGATACGCGACCCCCAAAGGGGTTGTGACCCACAGGCTCAGAACCGCTGATTGAGCTGAAAGTTATTGGCTGGGTGGGGGCCAAGGCCCTACACCTTCAGTTTGATTTATTTTCCACGGCCTCGATCAGCTGTGTTTATTAACAATGACGGTCAAGGTCATGCCTCCAGGGGAGGTCCTTGTAATGCTTCACAGAGGAGTCAGGGAAACATCTCAGCCTGGGAAATCCATTCTCTCCTGCTCAGCCGAACACAAGCTCTGTAAGATCTCAGGGCAAGCTGTGATGTTGGGACCCTCACCGTGGCTAATCCAACATCTTCCTGGGAAGAATATTGATTCTTCAAGATAAAAGTTGGCCTGTAGCAGAGGCAGGTAGAAGACAGAGATTGACTGATTCGTGCTGTCAAAACACCCGGCTTACCTGTTGCACCGAGTCTTCCCACAGTAATTTTCCACACTCCAACACCTGGGACCTTGATCTTGAAGCTCTAAGATGAACTTTGACCTCTTTGGCAAGGGATCTGTGTCCACGAGGACAGTGCCACAGGGCAACATTGTGACCCCGTGACAGGTAGCTCTAACCCATCAACTCAATTTCCCCAGCGGGCCCTGAGATAATTTTCAAAGCTGAAAAGAATAATTATTGCTGGGGCCAAGAATGAAAACGTTTTGCTGGCTATTAAATGCCGTCTGAGAGACAGTAAATTTAATGGCTCTGAAGTGGCTTCAGACCTCTGAGAAGATTTTACTTTTCCAGCCTTGGCGGGGATACCAAGTACAGTTCTTCTATTTCTGCCCTGCCTTCAAAATGTCATAAATAGTTAACTGTGTGAGTTCTTTCCAAAAAAAAAAAAAAAAACCCCTCCAAGGAGCATCCAAAAATAGCCTCCAGGGGCTTAATGCATATTTCCTCAGGTCCTCTTAATCTCTCCATATGGGTGGCTATGATTTATTGTGACTGTCACCTGTGGACCTGCAGGGACAAAGGCAGCCAGGCTGGAAGGCAGAGAGGTGGCAATGTAGAAAGGTCTCCTGGGAGATGGAACTGAGCATCCAATCGATTCCAGATGAGAGTGCAGGGGTGAGAGATGTCACCTCTCCGTCCCTTGGTTTCTCTGCTAGCAAGGGGAGTGAGGAGGGGCTGTCATCAGCTCCCCAGGGTTCAGCGAGACTGTCCCCTCAAGTGCGAAGTTGCAACAGATTCTCCTACAAAGCAGAACCTGCCAAAGGCCAAGGACTATGATGACGAGACGAATCTGCACTCATTACTTGCCTCGGCAGCGGGCGCGTGTCACCCCTACCGGTTCCTATCTCCAGGCCAAGAGTAAGCACTCTCCTGCCCATTTTCGAGCCCAGTGGCATGACCTGAGGCTGCCTGTCCATCATAAGCTTGATGCAGAAGGAGAAGGGACAGCCAGGCCCAACTCAGCCACCTGCCGGCTCTTGCCAGCGCTGCCTCTGCCTTCTTGTGTTTATCCACGGCATGGGCACCACCTCTGAGAACTGAGCTCATCTTCAGGGAAGGAGTCCCTGCCAACAGACCACCAGCCCAGGGACCTTCTGTTGACCCAGAAGGAGGGATCAGGCAAGAACCTCGGCGTTGGTCTCGGTGCTCCCTGTTTTCCCTCTAAACGCTCCTAACAATGGCACCATGATTAGTTGCGGCTCAGGCCCCCTGACACCCCTTAACCTGGAAAATCAGGCAGACTTTCCCGACAGCAATCAGCTCCCAGACACATCGAACCGTAATGTGATTACACCATTTACCAAAATGCAAAGAGAGATACTTGAGGCGTTTCTGATTAGGGCTGACATTATCCCTCTAATGGGGCATGGCATTAATCAGAGCTGTTGCTATGGCTGTGGCAATGGTGGGGAAATAACCCCAGCTTGATTCGGGGCCTCCCCAACGGTGCCACTGAGGAAGAGGTCAGCTTTTGTTAAGAACGTGGCACAAGAACCGTTTCTTCCTGCTTGAGAAGGGCGTGCTATGGAAATCACACCACCGGCCAGAAAGAGGCTTCTGTGTTCTTTCGTGACGTCAGGTGCTCTGGTTCCATGGCTCGGGATGACTCGACGGCATTGTTCTAGGAAGCCCTGTGTGTGCGTGAATGCTGGGGGTGGGGGGTGGGGGGGCAGCCAGGCTGATTTGTGGCACTGTCAGAGCCTTCTGCTCTCCAGAGTGGTGTCTTAATTGTCGGCGGGTCCCCTGAGAATGCTGTGGGGCCTGAGAACCTGGGGAGGGAGGAGAGAGATCCTTGGAAAGGCCAGGTTTCCCATGGCACCATGCTCTGGCTTCTGCTGATCGCTGCATTCCGGACCTCAGAAGCATTTGGCAGAGACAAGCCCCTCACTACGCACCCTCCATGAGTAGATAAAATAAGAGGGAGACAGGATGAAATGGGCCTAACAGGCCCAAAAGAAAACCCCTCTGATCTCTGCTCAAGGTGGCAGGGAACTCGTGGCCTGAAAGAGGCTTGGAGGGATCAGATGGTGGTGTTAGGGATGGCCATCGGAACCTGGCTCTTATTTGCGAGTGTGAATTCTCCACAGACCCAAGTCTACTTTTTCTTAGGCACAACTATGATCAAAAGAGAAGACTCCAAGACCATCAATGTAGCATGTATGAACACACACACACACACACACACACACACATACACACTCAGGAGCACACTCTGTCCACAATCAAGAATTACAATCAAGAAATCTGCTTATTGGGGCTGGGGTAATAACTCAGTTGGTAAAGTGCTGGTGGCTTATGCATAGGACATGAATTAGGTCCCCAGAAAGAATCTGTATTTAAATGATGGACATAGAGCTAGGGTTGCAGTTAAGAACACGTGCCTTTCTTCTGGGGGAGTTCAGTTCAGTTCCCACATCAGATGGCTCACAACTGTCTACAACTACAACTCTGGGGGTTCCAGCACCCTCGTCTACCTTCCATAGGCACAGGCCCACACATGTACATGCATACTAACACAAACACACACACACACACGTAAAACCTTAAAAGAGAGAGAGAGAGAGAGAGAGAGAGAGAGAGAGAGAGATGAAAATAATGTCTCATGTTTGTAATCCCAGCATTGTAAGGAGAGAGGTGAAGCCCTAGATAAGCCTCTCCCTACTTGGCCGGTGAGAGATCTAAAAATAAATAAATAAATTAGGAGATAGTTCCTGAGAAATGACACCTAAGGTTGGCTTACACACACACACGCACACACACGCACATGCATGCACACATGTACAAAGACACTCGCGCATACAAAGACACACAACACACACACACATACATACAAAGACATACACGCCCATACAAAGACACACACACATACAAAGACACACACGCACATGCAAAGACACACACACACAAATACACATACACATCGCACATGAACTCTCATTCTTGTCCACGTCCTTTGCAGAGTTTTCTCGGAGTCTCGGTTCTCCCTACTTTCAGGATGGGAACAACAAAATCTACTCTGCTGCCCTCACGAGCCGCTGTGTCTGCAGGAAGGAGGCTTACAAAGCCTAGAGCACAGAAGGGTTAAAGTCCTGAAGTCTGGAACCAGCGTTAGACACTGGCAGGTCTGGGCGGTGCCAAGGTCTTGAGTCGGGGAGAAGGCAGACAACCTAAAATTAAATAAATAAATTAGGAGCTAGGCCTTGAGACAATGGCAAGCGCCACCATTAAGAATATGAGCCTTCTTTCCAAAATGAACTTACAGTTTTAACAGGGGTAGGGATTTTTAAAATAAAAGGCTTTTGAGAGGATCAAGACACATAATGTATATGGAATGTAAATGCATACAATTTTACACTCTGGATTCCTAATTAATGTTCAAGTCTCTTGTTAGAGGCCACTGTCTCTCTTTTGCGGTGGGGGGAGGGTCTTGTCCTCAGGGGTAAGACCTCTGACAGTGGACAGCACCCCACCTCTTAGCTGTGTGACTAAGTGCGTGGCCCAGAACCCAAGTAAACACTTGTAACCCTCTACGCACTTTATCTCAATTTTAGCACCAGTCTGGCGAGGCTGGCAGGGATCATTGTCACCACCCTGTGAAGTGACATCGTAGGTGATTCAGGCAGTCGGTGGTGGGAGAGCTGGGATTTTAGCCCAAATTTGTTTCGTTCCAAAGCTGAAGTTCTTTGCACGACCTTCTTGGCTAGAAGTGACCCGAGTCAATTTTGCTATTCACTATGTAGATGGAAGGGGTCACCGGGCTGTAAGTCTCTGTGTGCTATAATGAAAGCAAGTGTCACGGAGGATTCTGCCATGCAGACTCTCATTTATTAGCTAAGCAGGTACAAAAATAGGCTTGCGGCTTACCCTGAGAGCTCAGACATATTCCCTGTCACTGTCCTTTAGTGACCCACCAGAGCTTTGCACGAAAGCTCTGCTCAGGGCATAGGTGACTTTTTTCTTTTCTGTCTTTTCTTTTCTTTTCTTTTCTTTTCTTCTTTTGGCACCAGGATTCAACTAACTTTGGCATAGAGTTGAGAGGGGAAAAAAATACCCCTGGTAATCAGCCAGATAAACACAGGATCCACTGGAGTCACGAGCTCTCGGTATCACTCCATTGACCAAACACAGGAAGGCCAGTCAGAAAGCTACCTGAACATTCCAGGGGCTGTGGGGGAGGGGGGAGGGCTGGCTCATTTATCGAGCTCACTCAGTATGCAGTGCTCCATTTCAGATGCCTAGCGGCCTTCGCAAAATGCCATACACCACCAGCAATGGGTTCTTCCAGAGTTCCGAAGCCTGGGATCTGAAACCAAGCTGTCCACCCTGAAGGTTCTGGGACAAGTCCTTCCCTCCCTCCCTCTCTCCTGGCTCCTGGCGGATGTCAGCAATCTTTGGTACTGCCGGGCTTCTTGTGGCCATATTTCATTGTCCATCATTACTATCACATGGGTTCTTGGTATATATGTGTATATCCGTGTTTCTGGATCTTTTCCTCTTCTACGCAGTCACTATTATACTGCATTTAAGGAACATCCTAACCGAAGATGACCTTAGCTTAGTTAATTACATCTGCAGAGTGCTATTTTCTAATACTTACAGTCAAGGGAACTGAGCGGATGTAAAAGTTAGGGGGCACTATTCACCCCAATGCAGGCACTTACAGGGCGCCAACTGCTGTGGAGAAAAGAGACAAAAAACAACAGCAGGTTAGTACTTTAATCCCAGTGCTCCAGAGGCAGATACAAGTGGGTCTCTATGGGTGTGAGACTCTATATAGTGAATTCCAGGCAAACCAAGGCTGTGTAATGAGACCCTGTCTCCAGGAAGGAGGGAGGGAGGGAGGAAGAAAGGGAAGGAGGGAAGGAAAGAAGGAAAGAAGAAAGGAAGGAAGGAGGAAGGAAGGGAGGAAAGAAAGAAGGAAGGAAGGAAGGAAGGAAGGAAGGAAGGAAGGAAGGAAGGAAGGAAGGAAGGAAAAAGAAAAATCTCACAAAGAAAGGCTGTTGGGTTTCTCAGCAACTTGAGGGAAACAGGCAGATGGT